GGAAGGGTTCTGACTGAATCAAGGCGTAAATCTTACTTAACTGATTATTCGCACCTACAAAGTTTGTCCCGTTATCCGAATATACGTGAGATGGAATTCCCCGGCGGCTTACGAATCTTTTGAACGCACCTAGAAATCCTTCGGTAGTCTGGTCGCTCGCTATCTCAATGTGGACTGCCTTTGTGTTCATGCAAATAAAAACGCAACCATAAGCTTGAAGAATAACACGATTCCTAAACTGTTTTTCCTTGATGTTGATAGGGCCAAAATAATCTATTCCTACGTGTTCGAAGACCGAAGCTTGTTGCACGCGCGCCTGGGGTAAATCGCTCATTTTTCCCTGAAAGGCTACTGGACGATGTTTTACGCATGTGACGCAATGCCGCACAATTCTCCTAACTTGATTCTTTCCATCTAACAGCCAAAATTTCTGACGAATTCTATACAACGTGCTCTGGATTCCTGCATGCAATAACGACTGGTGAGTTTGGCGAATAATGAGATCCGTTACATGGTGATAAGAGGGTAGCAATATTGGATATTTTTGTTCATCAGAAATCTGCGCGTTGCGAAGCCGGCCACCTACACGAAGTAAACCGTTGGGATCGATAAAGGGGTTGAACGTTGCTATTTTCGTATTTTTTGTAGAACCAGTTTTCTCGATCTGCCGAATTTCCCTTTCAAACTGTTCAGATTGGATCGATTTCAATAATCTCTATTCTGCTCTGGATCTCTTGGCCACCCTGAGTGAATCATGGTTTCGATCAGCTGAAAAACGCCAACGCAAACAATACGCAAGTGAATTAAGTAGCGACTGATAGGATGAAAAGCGCCTGTAACCTAATGGGTCCTGTGATAAGGGGTTGGGCCTAGGGACCTTTGAAGGCAGAACTTCATTAGCAGTGAGGGCAAGACAGGTTGGAGTCCTTAATCCTGGAAGTTCGACGTTGGGGTCTCTCGCAGATTTGGGCCAATCTTCCTCTGATTGGTACAGCCATTTCATCCCGGAACTCCATGTATCATTCTGAATGAACTCGGCTGGAACTTGACCCCTAGAAAGAACATCAGCGAAATTGTTTTTGCTGGAGACATGACGCCATTCAACGATACTCGACAACTCTTGGATTTCTGCGACACGATTCCCTTCAAAAACCTTCAGGGCTTGTGGAGGTTTTTTAATCCACTGCAAAACAATCTCTGAATCGGACCAAAACACGACCTTGTGGAACGAAACTTCAAATGATTCCCGAAACTCCCTAAACAATCTCACTAGCGTTAGAGCGCCACACAATTCAAGCCGGGGAATGGTGGTTTGCTTGACTGGAGCTACCCGAGACTTGGCGCACGCTAAGCGAACGAGGACCTGGTTGGTTCTGTCAACTGATCTTAAGTATATGCAAGCCCCATATCCTCGCTTGCTTGCGTCGCAAAATCCGTGCACCTCAATCGCCAATGCGCTGGGTAAAATAAGATGTCTAGGAAACGATACTTCTTCTAATCGATCTAGTTGCTCTACAAATAAACGCCACCTGGTGTGTAGTTCTTGTGGCACTGATTCATCCCACCCTACCTTTGCCTTCCAACAATCCTGCATGATGACCTTAGCTGCGAATACGACTGGCCCTAAAAGCCCTAGGGGATCGAAAATCTTTGCGATTTCGGATAGAATGACTCGTTTCGTGACTGTTTGGGGCGTTTCTATTCGTTTAACTACATATGCAAAACAATCTAATTGGGAGTCCCAAGATATACCTAAGGTTTTAACTATCGGATCCCCCTCTGTTAAGCTATCCATTTTAAAGACCCTCCCCTCTGAGTCGTCAAGTGCATGAGCGTGATTTGAAGCCCATTTTCTAATCGGAAACCCCCCGCTAGCTAACAATTGAATTAACTCATCCCGAATCTGTAAAACCTCCTGTAAAGAGTTTGCCCCAGTAAGTAGATCATCTACATAAAAATCCCGCTTTAAGATAACACTAGCCCTAGGGAAATTTGCCCTTTCATCCTCTGCTAACTGATGAATCGTTCTAATAGCTAGAAAGGGAGCGGATGATACTCCAAAGGTAACCGTGTTCAGCTCGTAAGTCCTAATTCTACCCTGATGTACCCATAGAATTCGTTGATAGGGCCGGTCCCGGGGATCTACTAAAATCTGTCTATACATCTTTTCTATGTCTGCAGTAACGACGTAAGTATGAGTGCGAAACCTGAGGAGGTGGTTGAAGAGTTTTGGTTGAATTGTAGGCCCCACCATGAGCATGTCATTCAGCGAAAGATTTTTATCGGTCTTGGAAGATGCATTGAAAACTACTCGGGTCTTCGTTGTGGTACTAGATGGTTTGACAACGGCGTGATGGGGCATACAATATCCCCCGGCACCCTTATCCTCTATCAGTGTCATGTGATTTGAGTCTACATATTCCTGCATAACCTTTGTATATTCTACTTCGAGGTTAGGATTACCCTTAAATCGATGTCTCATAGCTTGCAGTAGCCGGAAGGCTTTAGAACGAGAATCCCCTAATTCTGGACTTGGTGATTTAAAAGGCAGCCTAACTATATACCTACCACTATCATCACGTCTGGTATTCTGTACATAATGATTTTCGCATGCGCTCTCCTCCGTGGTAAAAACTGACTGATTACTAACCTCCTCCAATTCCCAAAATTTCGCGAGCTGTTCGTTCAATTCTACCAAATTACATGTAGCAACGCCCTCTGGATGTGACTTAATGCCTCCTACTATTACCCACCCTAGCTGAGTTTTTTGTAAATACAAATCGCAATTATTTCTTGACAGATGAAGTTGCCCAATGGATAGGAATGAGAGTGTTTCACCTGAGCCTATGAGGATGTCAACGGAACGTGGAACGTGGAACTGTGGGTCAGCTAATCGAATCCCATTAGGTATGTCGATTGCTTCTCGAGGAAAGGGTTCATTAGGAATAGCACTAGTTATATTTGGGATGATAAGGCAGTTTAACGTTTTTTGAAACTTATTGATGCGAGACTGGATGACAATTTCAACGCTCCCCATAGATCTGGACCCAATTCCCCCAAATCCCTTAATCGAGGTTTCGCATGTTTGTGTCTGCAACTGGAGCCTTAGAGCAAACCTTTTTGTTATAAAATGATTTGTAGAGCATGTGTCTAATAGGGCGCGCCCTTCTAAAAACTGCCCTCTGTTAGTCCTAACCAATACAACTGCGCTCATCAATAGCTGGGAAGTAAGAGACCTAGAAACTGCACTAAATACTTCGAAATCTAGTCACGTTGTGGATTGAGGATTTTTGGTACCTTGGTCAGATTTCTGAGAGTTTGTACCCTTTGAATCTGAGTGCAAAAGAGTATTATGATATCGATCGCAACGCTTGCAATGGCCAAGTACGCATTTACCGGGGTGAGACCGCAAACAGTTAAAGCACAGTCGATGAGCTCTGACAAAGTCCCATCGTCTTTGACTGGACAAGTTATTGAATCCCGGACAACGGTATAATTGATGAGCTTGGCTACATTGGGGACAACTAGTTTGCTCAGCAGAAGTAACAAAAACGCGTGTCCCATCTTGGACCTTTCTAGCCTTTCTAGGTTCGACGTTGGGCTTAACGACTGCACTTTCTCTTGCGGCCTCACTTCCTCTGGGAACATCAGTTTCCATGGTGTATAACCTAGACACTACTCCGTCGATGAATTTATAGAACTGATCGAGGGTGGGCAGTTCATCTAGGGTCAAAGAATCCTCCCATTTCTGTCTAATAGAGGGCGGTAAGGCCCTTTCAAGCAAACGTACTACCATACGAGAGGGTTCTTCAACACCTAGAGATTGGAGGGTGTTCAGGTGTTGTTTCACCTCATCAACCATCTTAGAGATGTCTCTAGATGTTGGGGACTCAAGTGGGACGATGTCTAAAATGGCATCAAGGTGTTTTGAGACTAGAATGCGCTTTCTTTCGTAGGACTCCGTCAAAGTCTTCCAAGCCTTGCTGTAATTTCCCGCGCTTATGTCATAAATCGCCACCTTACTTAACGCATCCCCCTGCAACGTATTACGTAGGTACATGAACTTAACTAGGTTATCGATGTCAGTCCGAGAGTCGATCATGCTTAAAAAGGAATTTTTATATGATAGCCACTCTTCGTGCCCCCCACTAAACTTAGGAAGTTCTGCTACTGGGAGTTTCAAAAGTCGCTGCTGTTCGATGAAGGTCGACGAGCCCATTCCTCCTCCCTGTCCTGCCAAAGAAGCGTTATTCCTCCCATCGCGAGCGTTTAACCTTGCAATGTCGCTGGCTACCTGGTAATACCGTGTGCTGAGTTCTGACCAAACCTGCACTTCAATCACCTTTTCGCTCTCAACACTAAGCTCTTCTATAAGGTCCTCACATACTTGAAATTTCCTACTTAGATCCCCCAAACGCAAGGTCGCACTGGTTTTGTCGACGTCTGCGCCCTCTACAAAATTTTCTAATCCTTCTAATTTATCAGCAAATAATCTTACCTTTACCGATAAACTTTTGGGAAGTGTAGTTGCCATGTTGATGGTGTCGACCTAAGGATCCCTCTTACTGTATGTAAACTTGAAACCCCCTAATCTTAACCTCTATGGCCCCGTTAAATAAACAAATAGATTAAGCTATCCCTAATTAGGAAAAAGTGAATGGAAAAAAACAAAAGAGAAAAAATCAAATCTTATCTGTTTAAAGACGTTGCCTCGACTCCTGGCAGCTGGGAGCAGGTTGATGATCCTTGGGAGCGACGGCGTTGGAAGCGACGATGGTTGACGTGTACGTGATAAGGCAGTGAACTTCAGACCTCACAGGAGGCACCAAAATGTTGCGTGTGAACACAGCCGATCCCACATGGATTGCCTGGTTCGAATTTAAAGGAATGAGATATAGATACAGGGGGGGGTTGTACTGTATAGAGGGTTGGTTTAAATTAAATTAAAAAAAAAATAATACAAAAAAAATAAATAGTGATTAAAAATTAAATAGAATTAAAGGGAGAGGAAGGTTAACACAATTAAGAACAACTAATTAATGGGAAAAAGCCTATGGCATAAAAAACCCAGATTTATTAAAAAACGAATCAGAATTAATACAATTGAAGAAAAAACAGTTAAACTAATTATACCATTAACAATGGGACCAATAATAGCCTATGTTGTGTTAGTATGGGTATGTGTGAGGATGTGCGGGAGGACCTGGTGGTGACGACTCCCAGTGTGTGTGTGAGTTCAAGGCGAATGAGGGAGGAGTGATCTCCTCTGCGAACCGGCGGGCCCTGCACGGTCGCACGAGTCAGCGCAAGGCTGGTGAAAGCGGGCCGACGCCCGAAATTCGAAATTAACTACCACCTGCGGCAGCTCAGTAGTGATGTTATGTGAGTGGCGTATTCGGGTGAGGACCCTGAATCCGGAACGAGAAACGGGATTGAACGGATGAGACGTGGCGGGATGACAGCGGGATGACGATATGCACTGAGTGTGGTGTAACAGACGTATGATTGGTGTAATAGACGTATGATTGATGCAGGTAATGGCGTGATTGAATGCGGATGCGTGGATAGAAGTTAACCTAAAATGATGGTGGATATATGTAGGCAGAGATACTGAGCGGATGATGATAGAGGTTGTAGGGTGACGTGACGTATGGATAAGCTGTTCGTTGACGTGAGGTGAAATAATTAGCGAGATTTGTATTGAGCACGTCGTAGATGATGCAGATGGGATAAGCGTAGGCGTGCAGACGGGTGAAAAAAGATAAGCCGAGAGCGATTGTGAAGGTGATTTCGGGTAAAGAAGGGTTGGATAGAGAACAGAAGAGTAGCAAAAACGAGAGGAGAAAGGGTTGTGATGACGGTAAGGACGAGCAAGGGACTGATGGATGAACGATGAGCAAATGAAAATGGAGGCTGCAGAGGCACAGATCTAGCACGACGCGTGCTTAATGAGATGTGATGAAGAAGCAAGTCATGAAAGAATGAAAGGTCGAGTTAATGAACAAAAGATAAAAATGAACTACAAACTAAATGAATTGTGATAAAAGACTTAGCGTCTCGATGTCGATGTCCTGAGTCCTGGGGCTCGATGGCAGCGGCGAAATCTCCTGCTGACGGTGCAGACTGCAAGCGATAAAAAAAAAAACACTAAGCGTGAAGATGCTTCCAATTCGGCAGGCCAAGCAAAAGAGAGCGTGCAGGCTAAAAAATAACTGCCAAGTCCTGAAGTCCCGCCCATCCCACCACCGCGCCGACGGGACATGAGCCAATAAGCGACGGAGGCGGGCGCGCACAAGGCTCCAGGGAAAAATGAGGTGCGTGCGATTCTAGAATTTGGACCAAAAACGGAATTCGCTCAATTCCGTCTCTCGACGGAACACTGATGATTTTCACATATACTTTGATCTATGAGACCCAGTTACGCTTGATTAACAATGTCCTGTATCTCTCTGATAAAGTTGGCTATGAAATTTATTCTTTAGATACTTTTGGTTTAGTAAGTGCTAATATCTACTAAAAGAAAGGTACAAAATTTCTCGATTTAGACTTTAATGAGACTTTGTTCAAGAGCAATTCTTTGCTGATAACAGGTATCTTTTATCTGGAGCTTATTGGCAACATTTGAAAGTTATTCGAGTTATCTTATTAGGTATAAACGATAATCTTCATAGTTCTGCATAATATTTCGTTGATCTGAGCAAACAAGAGTTAATGTAACACAGTAGCTTCAGCGAACGTAGTCGTTAACAAATATAATTGTGTTGTTTTTTGATATTGAAAATCTAAGAGTAATATACTTGTCAAAACAATTATATAATCACTATATAGGCTTAGTTACTTGTTACCACAGGCTGTATACAACTTGATCAAATTATGATTATTGCCTCAGTGGCTTAACGATCATGCACTAAATTAAATGTCAGAAGGCTTCAATTTTCATACGATTTTTTTTTTTTATTTTATAAATAAAGACGATTTATACGCTTTTTTGTAATAGATATTTACAAAACAAAAATATAAATTTTTATTGTTTAATTTTAGTATTTATTTAATCCGAGCATTGTAGTTCAAACTTATGCTGATTGTTAAAATGCACTTTTTTCCCAAACAGAATATTAAAACATAAAGATTCTAGTATAAACATAGTTTAAGAGTAAAAAAAATTAGTTACTTAAAGTTGGTAACTCTGATTTATGCGCTAAATAATAAGGTCGTGATACAATCGATAAACACCACGCAGAATTGTTTTAACGGATGCAACGTTAAAAAACATCTTTTGGATTTTATAAGTTTAGAAATTTTTATA